GTATTCCTAAGTTAATAATATTAGTAATTTATTGTTTATCGTGATAGAATTAAACAAACACAATTTTCATTATAATTAATATCTGGATGTAAAATTTATCAATCCATTGAAACATACAAATATAAAATGATACATTGAAACATACAAATATAAAATGAGACTAAGCTAGAATAAAATTCAGTAGTCTCTTTAATACATTCATGACGTGTCAAATTACAAAGTAAATGTATTCATCAAAAAAAAAAAAAATATATATATATATATATATATATATATATAAAGGCAAGGAAACTTTAGCTGTATATCCGTTTGTTTGTTCCGGCTCCAAATTTCTTCATCTATTAAAAGAAAGTTAAACCATATATTATTAAGTTTTTTTCTAACAATAAAAGAAAATATCCTGAAAAATGTCAAAATTTTATTTTATGATATAATTAAAAAAGTGTCAAAAATATATACTCAAAATTTCTTTAAATCTAAATCATATAAGATATGATTGAAAGTACATCTGCTCAAGTTGATCTTTACCTGAAGTTTACGAATCACAATATTTATCTATTTCATATCAAATTTCTCAATACACAGTAATAAAATTTGTCTGTACAATATTTAATTATTACTAATAGAGTTTATCGATAATTAAATACTATATAATAAATATTAACTTTTTTAATTATTTTTATAATATTTGAGTTATTTATACTGTTTAATATATATTATTTTAATGTTAATTGATAAATACATTTTAAATTAATAAAATTTGATTAGAAGAATTACATTTTTATGTTTTAAAAATGAGAAACCAAATTAATTTAAAATTTAAAAAGATAATTTTTTATTTAAAATTAAGAAACCAAAAAATATATTTAACTTAATTTAATATATTATTTATGTGACTGTGCACAATGTTTCATAGGTTTTAAGAAAGGTAGATCTGAAAGAGAAATATAAGTTTTATATGCTAACCTGATGATTATGTAATGTTTTTGCTGTGAAAGATAAGATCTTTATTTGATTAGCAGCCGCCATTGATTTTTGATGCATGCATTTGTTGGATCTCTGTTTACCTGATAGTAAAATCACAGAAGATTAAACAATAGAAAATATAATTTGTGAATAAGATTGTATAAACTAGATCATGTTTTTCACACAGATACCATTAACATACTGATATAATATATTATATAAATTTAATTTATCAAAACTTACCGATACAACGGCTAAGGGAATGGAAAGACAGAAAGAAGCTGCGTAAGCGAAGCGGAGGGAATGAGGCGTGAAACTTTAGGGTTTAGGTTACCTTTATATAGCCACATGAGGCCCACCGTTTCTTCAATTGTGTATGTAGTTCTAAAAGTTTAATTATTATTTTTATTTTTTTTATTAAATAAAATCAATTATTTAATTTCTTAAAATATGAAAATAGATATAAAACCATAATCTTGTAGATTACACATCATAGTATATGAACAACCTTATAAAATTAATATAAATTAAATAAAATTTTACTCGATAAGAAAATTATTAATTTAGATAGAAAAGAAAGAATAATCAGCTTAATTAAAATATACAATATGATAACTTCAAGAGATTATTTATCATTATTAATAAATTAATTATCTAAATCTCTATGAAAATAATTTTAGTGTTTGTAAAACAATACGAAAACTATTTAAATAGCAATCAATTTTAGAGATAAAAAATAATTAATCACAATATAAACTAACATAAATATTAATTTATAATTATAAATAATTTGTCTATGTAAGAGTCTTTATTATAAATAAAAAATTATAATTAATAACTAATTATATCTTATCACAACATTAATTATCAAGCTTTTGAGTACAATTAGTAACTAAATTTTTCATTAATTATAATTTTTTATTTATTATAGTGACTACTTTAAAGACTATTAATTAATAGATTATAAATGAATATTTAAATTAATTAATTACTTTTTGTCTATAAAATTAATTACTATTTCAATGTTTTTTATAATGAAATAAATAATTAGTTTTAAAAAAAGATGTAATAAAATAAATTCTAATTATTTTAACTTAAAGTGATAAATATCAATATTATATATTTATTTGTACTAAGGGTAAATATGTAATATTTAATAATAATTCAAACAAAAAATATTAATAAATAAATGTATGACTTCTACAACAAAAAATTCTTTGTCTAACATCCCAAAATATATAGTATAAAATTATATAATAGTCATCAATATTTTTAATAAGAACAAGAACAGTCGACAAAGATAGAAACTATAAAGTTGTTACAGTCATCCAAAATAACCATAAAAGGATTTTATATACACATTAACTAATCAAAACTATTTACAAGGTAACTAACTAATGCTACTATACATCAACAGTTCCCCCATATAGCGTATGCTCCAGGAAACCTCATCACCCTCTACTTATACCCACCGAATGATCATAACAAAAAAAAGAAACAAAGATACATACAAACACAATCACAAAAAAAAGGGTAAGTTAGATATTAAAACAATTCATATAATGCACCAATATATTCATACATCAGACATCATACATACCTAAACCATCATATAATACAATAGATACTTCTACATCATACTCAAAGTTAAAGCATAACTCAAAGTTATTAGACAACAAAGAAAGAAAGAATCAAAACAGGTTCTAGACTGGTAGCTTAGTGCACAAGCTCGTTATGCCAAAACAGAAACAACGAGTTCTGCTCGCTCAGTGACTACACTTGCTCAACTATAAGTATTTTGCTCGCTCACTAGAATACTTTGATTAAATACAATAAATCAAATAAACACACACAAACAGTTGACATTAGACTCAATTATTCAAATTTTGGTATTTTTGCCCAGCCATCAGGTCTGCTCGCTCAGTTAAAAGTGTTTGCTAGCCCCCTCGCTCAACCACCATGACTCCATCTACAAATATAAAAACAGTGAGTTTTTCTCGCTTAGCTAGAAATGTTATACTCGCTTAGTGGATACACTCGCTCAGTGAGACTACATACTTTTACAACACAAAAATTGCAAAATTTGCTCCCTTCTACTACCCATGACCTATCTTATGCATATTTCCCAACTTCTAACACTTCTAGATTAATTCTAAACTAAAATGGACTTAACCAAAAGTATATAAACCCACCTAAACTCATTTTAAATTGTTCTACCACAAGATTCTGATCCAAAAATAACAAAAACCCCACTTTAGATACTAAACTTGAATTTCACAAGTTCTAGCTCATATTTGAGCAACTTAGGGGTATTGACAACTCACAAAAGACTCAAAGACAAATCCCAACTACTCCAAATTGTCTCAAAACATTCACATAAAAAATTCATTACTCAATACCCTCAATTTACGCCTAAAAACCATCCAAAAACATCACCAATTGTATACTATACATTTCTAAACCATTTTTTCTACTAAATCACAACACAATTAAGTTTCAATTCATTATACCATAGAGACTAAAACATTATTTTTCCACTTAGACCAGTTTGTCTAAAACTCACTTATTATAACCTTCATTTTTAGACCAAAATGACCTACAACCAAGACTAACATTTCCTTCTCACTAATTCCAATTCAATTAACATAACTAACCTCACAAACACAAAATTCAACACATCCGAACAAATTCATCTCATTCTAAAACATTCATCATTGCACCAAACATCCATTAACTATTTTAAACCATTCAAATCCCAATTCATACTTTCCTTATTTTTAACACAATCTAATTAAAATCAAGAATTAAAATAATATCAAGAAATGTCACTAACTTTCCTTATTTTAGGAAGAAGTCTTACGACTCTAAGAACTTCCAACCATTATTTCCCCCAAAAGATACTCTAGAAATGTAGAAAACCTTAGGTAAAACTTTAATGGAAAGTGACAACTATCTTAAACCACTTTGGCAAAGAAAGTAAATGCAAGTTTGAATACACTGTATCAATAAATTAATTAGATATCCATATAACTCACATTTCAAAGTATTTGTAATACAAAAACAACATTATACCTTATTCATAATAACATTATACAATATTTTTTCTATTTTATTTTGTTGAAGGTGAAGACATTACAGGATAAACTCTTTTTTTTAATCTACTATCTTAGTGTTGATAAACCCACACAAATTACATTTATTTAATGCCTGCACCGTACAATAAGGGCCATAAGCTATTGTAGAGTTTATTCGAAGATTATCAAATCTTAATCTTTCGGGCCATAGTATAAAGTAAGCTTTTTGAAGTACCAATTGATCCATAGTTTATTATTATCATTTATAAAATACATTTCTAGCCATAATCATAGTTTAATATTATTGTTATTTATAGATTACCATTTTTTCAATAATAATAGTCTATTATTATTTATAGGTTCAATATTCTCCCAAAACTGTAGTCTATTTAATAGATTCTATTGTCACTTATAGATAATAACCACAATATTATCACTTACTGATTAGTGTTTTCCCAATAACAGTGGGACTACTACTTTTTTGGATTTCTTTTTAATTTTGTTTTGTTTTAATTTCTCTGTTCTATTTTCACTTATAGACAATGAATAACCATAATATATTATTATATTCTACAAAATTATGATTTCATATTTATTTTTATGTTTTGAAAAATTGGAATTACAGATCTCATCTAATAAAGATAATTAAATAATGATAAAAGGTCATCGTATTTGGCTACATAAACATAACCTAAGATGCTGAAATTGTAAGTTGTCATAGAATACCTTTTCATATTGATAAAAAATTTAAACAATTCTATTTTAATTCTTTTTTTCTATGTTATCAGTAATTTTTTTAAACAACTAACAGTTTTTATTTTTTTTCACATAGTTAAAAGAATGACTTTAGGTTAAGTTTATAAACACTTTTGGATTTACTGCTAAAAGAGTAATTTAACAAACATTGAATAAGACCGTATTCTATTGATTTAATCATGCCGCATAATATTTTTATGGTAGTTGTAATTGAGTTATTTCAATTTCATACATAGTTTTTTTTCTTTAATTGAAAGAAATTATGAAATTGAAATAAAAAATCAAAACATACATTATCAAAGTAATAAAATAAAAAAATAATAAAAAATAAGAATAAGAAAAAGGTATATTAATTATGATATAGAAACCTTAATTTTTCATTAGGTTACCGGTATAATTTTGAAACTCACTTTGATATTAATTGAATCTAAATATGTAATTAATGGATTGTCTTTGTAGTATTTGAAATTCTATTGTGAAAGGATGAAAATCTATTATAACTAATATAAAACTTAAAAATTTTATCATTTCATAATATATTCTATAAAGTTTTGAGTACAAAGTCATTAGTCACATGTTTTATGTAATTAAATTTTAATATATCTAGTTAATATATAGGATTTTATAAATAAAAATATTTCAACCGATACCATAAATGAATGAAATATCAAGAAAAATTATTATAATGTTTCACATGATTATCAATCTTCACTACTGCATATAAAAATTTATATTATATCTAAAATCAAATAATTATACTGTTAATCAAGTGAATATTCGATCCTTTATAATAAAGACAATACATAATATAGAAAAACTCATCATGTTAGCATCCATGTCTAATGCAGCGTAATAATCTAAGTAAGAAAATATATATAAACATTGCTTTTATAATAAATATTAAACAATTGTCATTATACAAATATCACTTTAAAAAGATAAGTGTATTTGTCATAATAATATTAATAAATTATTCAACCAATTAAAACTTAACAATTATAAAATAAAAAGTTCATTATCTGTTGCAGTAACCTTGATGCTAATTTAATAAGGTAATGAGATTTTGTATAATATGTAATGTTTTTGTAGTAAAAGATCAAATGTACATTTCATTGACGGCATAATATAGATAAAAAAAAAACTTCATATACATGTGATGTATGTCAAATTTGGCATTATCTTATTTATTTATCTGGAAAAAGAAAGTAAAATAGTTCGTTTGAGAGTGCAATTATTACATTAAGTTTTTATGTGTAGGTAATTAAGTTATATGCATGTGTTAATTAATTTGAGAGTGTAATTTGTTCTTATTTTATTTTATGTTTTGTTATTCTTGCAATCTATTTTTTACTATTACTTGCATTAATGAGATTTGATAATCAATTTAATACTTTTTTATATTAATATTATGAACTTTGTTAGATATATTATTATTCATATAGTTGCACTTTTTAGAACTCCTTATTAATTGAATTTATTCAATAATTAATTGGATCCATTTACC